TTGTTTAAGCCGCACTCAGCAATATTCCCGCTATATGGCGGCAGTCTGTAATCACCAGGCAATCCAGTGATCAACAGCATGAGCATCGATCTACCCAATTGGGATACAATAGTCTGCAAGCCTGACCACTGATCTTGTTAGTTGCCTTTTACGACAAACATGGGTTGCTGAAGACCAATTCTAACCCGGATCTTCACATGTACTGGTGATGGCAAAGATAACTGGTGTGATTTTGGCATGGTGGTTAAAATATGCAGTGTGCACTAGAATATTGTCATTTGGACAGGTAAATTCTTGACATTTATCTTAGAAAAAATTAAATACTCTTTATTCAGACCATTGGACTCCTAAAAGGTTCACCTATGTTGGAGGTCGACGTTTGTTTCTCCAAGGATACAATGTATGAAATCCAATCAGTGTCCCCGCTGCTAAGGTATTGCTGGAAAATAAAAAAAATAGTGTAGAAATATTTCACTCAGCCAGAGGTCTCTTTTGTTCTTGTGAACGTTCACCAGCTCATGGTAGGTTCGCAATTTTTTTAAAGTTTAGACAAATTTATGTTTTTCAGAATCATTGCGATGTAACTCCAGCAATGTGTGTTTTTCTTGAGAACTTGAGATGCCGCATTTAAAAAGGAATATCATCACGCTCTTAGATAACTCTTCACATTCTGTAAAGATTAAACTGCTATTAAATGCTTTTTTATAATTAAACCACCTTCAAAGTCAAGTTATAAATCTACTGTCTGTTCAGGCTGGGGCTAAAAATATTCTTGCTTTTCAAATTTCTCCTGAAATAAATCTGTAGGCAGATGCTTAATCTGTGAGATATCCTCCCCTCACCTTATTTTACAGATAAATTTGGTACAGTTAAATTATTGTGAGCTCAATTTCTCCAAAGGGTTTTCCTTGTTATTTGGCGGGTGTGTAGATACCAACTTATTGCTGTATCTCGTCATCTGGGAAGAGAGGCACATTTGTATGTGCTTCTTCCACAGATCTCTGAAAGTATTCTGCCACAGGGATAAGTCTGTATATATGTTCCTTACATCTTAAAGACATACTGTCCAGTTGGGACAGTGTAGTTATGTTTTTTCTTCTTACTTCAAAATGAAGAGGGGATACTTTGTAAAGAGTTTTACTTTCAGTTACAAGGGGCTGAATCAGAGTGTTGTGTTTAAAGTGCCTGCTTGTTTTGACAAATAAGGTTTGACTCTGTGTGCAATGAGTGAAATAATATTTATGGTGTCCCTATTGCGATAAAAGGGAATTATTGGACTCACTCACTCACTCATGCACTCTCTCACTCACTCACTCACTCACTCACTCATTCTGCTTGTAGTTGGGAGTGAGGATTGTTTTACTATTGGCAACATTCCACAACATCAGGGAAGACCTGAAACAGGCTTCACTTTTGTAACCACTAGGAGAAATTAAACCTGGATATTGGGCCTGTCGAGCAAACACTTGAACCACTAGGCCACCCAACCACTGTATCAGGATGAATATATAATAATGTTGGACAGTATATTGTATTCAGTAACTTCTTCTAGTGGGAATAAATATTCAACATTTTAACTTTTACATGGACTGTTTTTGTTAGGAATTTGACAATGAATTTCGGAAAATTCCTTCTCACAAATGAAGAAAAAGAAATGAAAAGTGTATAAGACGAGACTTATATATATTATTCTTATATCAATAAGGCCTTGTCGAGCAGTTTGCCTGTGACAATGGCATTGTTCCCTTGACCATCGACCAGCCCTAGAAACCACATAGAGGCCAGTGATGTCGAGTCAGTGAGCAGAAAATTGGCTGTATACCCATGAGAATAATGTTAAGTGAGCCGTGTGACCAGTAGGCGTAAATGGCCAGAGCACAATTGAGTGACCAGCGGGCAGGAATCTATCTGTTTGACATGTGAAGATCGTGTTAAATTGTTTGGAGATACGTAAACAAAGTGTTGAGGTTGAATGGGAGAGTATCATTGTCGGTGGTGTGACGAACAAGCTTTAAATCATGACAGATGGTGCAGGTTAAGGGTTTTGATATAGATAAATTATAATGTCCTAAGTCACAGGAATAAACCGATATTTTCTCGAGAGATGATCTATTTAATTTGACAGACTGAAATTATGTCAATGCCAAATTTGGAGAAACTAATGATGATTTTTAAAAAAATTGTTTTTGGGTAAGGCCAGACCAATTTCATTTCTTGTTTTATGGATCCGCCGGTCGTACTTTTTCAAGAATAAGAAAAAAAATAAAAGTTAATTTTACCCGCTCAAAAAATAGAATCCTGTTTGGGGACTTTGATTGGTCAAAAATGTTAATATCCAAGAAAATGTTTGTTTTAGATTGTGTTTTGCCCAATATACACTTTATAAATTGCCAAAAGTAAAATACTTTTAGCTTTTAATTATTTTTATGTTTATTTTTTTCCTCCTGCCTTTAGGATTTTTGAGTACAAAAGTCTGTAAAACAAGAAATAAAATTGGTCTGGCCTAATTAATATTTTATTTCTGAGTCCCTGTTACATTTAGAAGGGTAGTGCTTTTCCCAGATCATATAGGAAAAGATAGGCATCTTTAAAAGAAACAAGCAAGATTATGCCAGAGTTTAAAATGCAATTGTTAGTTAAATATGTTCTGTTACTGACGTTCATATTAAGGTATAATGTCATGGACTCAGATATATTTTTTTAAAATTAACACTGACATAGACACTCAGATTCACTCACATTCTTCACTAAGCCATAAGAAGGTTTAACATAGGCACCTCAAAACATAAATTTAAGTAGTCAAGAATGGTTGTACTCAGTAGATCAAGATAACTGAACTGAAATCAACATTAGCTAGTTCATGATACAACATCCACTTTGTATTTAACAATGTTTTAATGACCCTGTGATAAATGTGTTTTGGTGAGGCAGAAGTTGAGAAGTACACTTTCTCATTTGTACCTCTCATCTGTTCTTCTCTCTCACCTAGACTCTCACACTGCTTGACGAACCAACTCACTCAACACCTGATTGTTTCTGTGTTCCCTCCTCACCGGTGTTTTTGCTCCCTCTCACGCAAACCCTGTCTGGCTCTCAATCATTTCATCTCCCTTAATAATTAATGAACCTCCTGGTGGATATAAGTTAGTTTCAGCAAACAATGCTTTAGTGTTTGTGACAACACAGAGGTTGGCAGAGACCCAGATAAGCTGCGTATCCGGGTTTATCCGGGTAAAATAAGCATAGAAAATTTCCATTTACGCATTGAAAAATAATTGTTGCGTACCAATTACGCATTCAAAATGTTAGATGCGCAAAAAGTTTAAAACAAATGCGTACGGAATATATTTATAAAAATCGCATGGCGTAATGAAAATGACCTCGAATGCTATCAAGTTGTACTGTTAGTTTAGGACAAGTGTTGTATTATCAGTATAGGATGAGTGATTTCCATTATAGTTAATTTGGTTTTGATTAGGTATGACATAAGGCAGAACATACCTGCTTAGTAAACTTACTCAATGACATAATAGGTGAGTAAAATGACTGAAATACGCACATATATGAAAGCAGTGGGTAACGGAAAATGAAATACCCACTCAACATTCATAATACCCACTCCAAAAAAATACAGTGGGTACAGTACCCACATGAGCTAAATCTTATCTGGAGCTCTGGTTAGGATACATTTTTGTGATGCATGACTCATTGTTGGATGGGTGCACTGTAGAAAGTAACCAAAATGAAGTACTAGACTGCTGTTTAAATCCTAGATTGCCATATGAGGATTGTCTGTCTGATCCAATACTCCTGGGGACCCGTGAAGATCTGGGTTATAATTGATATTCAGCAACCCATGCTTGCCATACAGGTAACTATTGGGATGAGTGAGTGAGTTTAGTTTTAGACCGCACTCAGCAATATTCCAGCTATATGGTGGCGGTCGGTAAATATTCGAGTCTGGACCAGACAATTCAGTGATCAACAGCATGAGCATGCAATTGGAATACGATGACATGTGTCAACGAAGTCATCGGTCCTGACCACCTGATCCCGTCAGTCGCCTCTTACGACAAGCATGGGTTACTGAAGATCAATTCTAACCCGGATCGTCACAGGTCGACTAATGGGATGGCTGGTCAGACTTGCTGACTTCGTTGATGCATGTCATCATTTCTCACTTATATAAAATGATGCTCATGATGTCAATCACTGGATTGTCTGGTCCAGATTCTATTATTTACAGACTGCCATAATATGGCTGGAATATTGCTGAGTGCGGTGATAAAAAATAACAAAGACATGGCTCCTGGGTGTCACCACACTGATCCCACATGAAACTGAAACATGACAGACTGTGCAGTAGCAGAAGAACTGTTGAAAGTGGAGTTGGATTCAACTCACAGTAACTGAATCCTTGTTTCACAACAGTGATTGTGATCCATGGATGGCTCAGTCACAACTTGCTGATTCTCAGTTGCGTCTGCTTGTTCATAAAGTGACTGAATGGTCAGAAACAACTAAATCATTAGGGGGCACATATGACTCGTTCAATTTCCTGAGCTCAGTTCCATCCCTTGACCCTGCTCGTTAACCCAGTTAACCCAGTTGACCCTGTTAACCTTGATTAAATCTCTGGGTTTGTCATCACCATATATGTTGTCATGGATTTCACAAAATAAGTAAACATCATGTGTGTCACTTCGGGCTTCTCTCCCACAAGCCGACACGCCATGACATAACTGAAACACTGTTCCAAGCAGCCATAACCAAGTCCCTCACTCAATCAGAGTTAAGTTTGCAGTTGTTGAAGCTTTTGAATTAAAAACTGATGTTCCAGATTTCATTTATTGCAAACACATTTGTTTTAAGTGAACCGAAAGTTGGGTCACATGGAAATAAAAATGTTCATTGATATGGAAGATGTGTATGTTGGTAGAGGGGAGTTGGAGCAGAGGCACTAGACATGCAGAGTGGCACCAGCGTTTCTCCTGGCACTAGTGCTGTGATGCAACTCTGATAAGCTGCATAAGCAACTCTCAAGTGAGGGCAGACAGAGGACTGGAGGAGAGAGGGAAGGAGGGAGTAGCAGACGGATACACATGGACCTCAAACTTCTACATGCCACAGCACAGGACATTTGTTTTACCCACTTCTCACCCAGGATGGGACATGATTATCAGTGTAGTGGGACCACCGTCTGACCTGTGTGGGACCTGTGTCGGATCTGTTTGGGACCTGCTGGGACCTGGAGTGGAGGGTGGTGAATCAGTGGTGTTAGTGCTGGCTGGGCAGAGCTGCTTAGTGTGTGTCAGGTCACCATGTGAGATAGCGGAGGGTAAGCTAGACAGTTTGTGTAACGCTTCAATAGCCAAGGGGCCCTTTAAATGTCGACTATAAATTGACTGTGATTGGCCGAAGCTGCAATCATTCATGAGCCAGCCACAATGTGCACAGTAATCTCTCCGGACTCCAGTGCAGACTAGTGACTAGGAAACTGTGTTGAGTGTAGACTGTCAAAACCAAAACTAGTAGCAGGAGTTTTCTTGTTAACATCTGTATATTCTCCCTTATACCTGTGTGGGCAATCATTGCAATTAGCCCCTATTTTGCCCCTAATGCTCTCCCAGTGGCCTATGACGGACCTACTGTCATACCTTGATTTTTACCTGTGATTTTACCTGATATTGGCACTGGATATCTCACCTTTAACGATGAGTTACCTGGACGTGATACAACCCATGGGCAGCCTCCTCATCCTTACAGTGATGGTAATGTATTACTTTTCACTTACGCAACTCATTGCCCGTGTTTACATGAAGCACTGGGCTGATGGCACAAGTCATCAATGTAATTAACTTAATTAGTGAGTCACTTCATAATGCTGAATGCAATTATTGGTGCAAAACATGTCACTGTTGACATTATGTGGAATTTAAGAGCGTTGATTCAACGTCGCCTTACAAGTCTTTGATGTATTTTGTTCACATTCTGAAGGAGAAAAACGGCTGTGCAAAATGTTCACGCAGTATGTTTGGCTTTCATAAGTGATGTCGTGCTAATGACCTGAGCTTGTGGCAGACTTCCGTGTTGTGTGGAAAAGGATAATGTATGCATAGGAAACTACTGCTGGTTAGGACATAAAGGTGATGGGTCCACCTGGCTACACTTAGTCTCACCTGGTCAACACCTCGTTAACTCCCACCTCACCTTTCTTTACCTGTGAGGGTTAGCGCTCGTCTCTTACTTGTGGAAAAACTGTTTTCTAAATACCAGCTGAAATCAGCTTGTCTACGGTCTGTGATCCAACTATTTGTTGTTCTTTCTAATATACCACTAGGTTACGCTCTCCGATAATCCCTTAGTACGGTGCTCTTCATGCAAAAGTACTGAATAAATGGTTGGCGTCTTTAGACATAGCTGCATGATTTGTAAGGAGACACCTGTTAGTTCTGCTAGACTTGTTTATTTTGGTTAATATGTGATGTTTATTTGTTGAACACTTGAGTGCATTTACACTCTTTTTTGGAAAGTAAAAAAGTTGTAATTTTTGAAATTTCTTGTTCCATTTTTATGTTAAAGATTAAATGATATTGGTAATTATATAAGGGTTTTAAAGTTTGAACGTCCTAAGATAACTTTGCAGTTCTGATCGTGGACTAGACTAGATGGTATATATAGTATATAGGCCAGGCTGTCATTGTTTTTGTCAATGTTATCAGAAAATGAATTTTAAGGCTGCTGCGGCAGAGCATGTTCCTTGCAGTACAAGGAGCCTCAATAAGCTGTGATAGCAGAACACATTGTGTGGCTCTACATGTTGTGATCTCTCGTGTTTGTTTTAGTAATGGTGTCAGATGTACATAACAGTGTTTACTGACTTGCCACAAGGCAGTGTTTTAGCACTTTCTTTCAATTAACAGCTTATTAATGACAGTCCATTTTCCAGCATGGGATATATGTAACAGTATTTGATGATCTGATAGTTTACTGTGTATGAAGTCTTGTGATTTTTACTTGCAATCCTTGTATAATTTGTAGCCACTTTTATCATTTTGAAAAGATAATTCATTGCTTATTGTGTAACTACATTTGTTACAAGTTTGCATATTTAATAGCCATGCACCGTTTAATATCATTATCTGATCTTTTTCAATTGTGGGATTTTCATTTTGAGGGATATAAACTAATGTATTTAGAAAGCTGTGCATTTGTGCATTCCATTCATAATTCATGTGATACGTAAATCTTACTTGGTAAGTAGTTACTGCAAATTTTATTATGAGATGCCATTATGCTACTCTCCTCTTGAATGGGTTCAACACCAGCATTGGGGGGATTAACAAGGGTTGTTAAGTGTTTTGGTTTTTTCGTGTTCATATTTATACTGGACACAAACGTTAGTGATGATGAAATATTTGTATATATCAAACAAATTTCAAGAAATTCATTCTTTGCTACAGAGACATACCTTCCCAAATATTCATTTGGATCTTGCTTCATCAGTATGATACCATGAATGCATGACACGTTTTTTATGGATAACAACTTCTTTTTTATCTTTGTACGACATTTCAGAGCTAATTCTTGCTCCTTCATCAGGTGAATGCTAAACTTTCAAGAACTTCAGTATGTTACCAGTAATTAGAAGTGATTTTTATGCCATGTCTCCTCTTGATATATCACTTTATGATTCTTTTGTTTTGCACGGTGGTAGTTTGACATGGTTTAAGTATGTACTACATTGCTCCCAGGGTATTCTTTAACCACACTGCTTGTGTAAATCAAAGATAGCATTTTAACAATGTTTTGCTGATGCTCCTCGGCTGTTGATCTCATGCAAACATCACACCCTAGGTCAGTGCCCTCAGATATCTTGCTACAAGACCGCTAGACCAGGCATGCCAAACAATAAATATTTGGTTAACAGATGACGTTGTATTGGACGCCATGAACGAAAACAGATGTAAATACCAGAGATGGGTGACAGAGTTGTCTGTTGCATTCCAGGACGGGACCTGGTCCATGTAGTCATGGTACTTTGATGTCGACTCTCCTTCTTCTCCTGCTTCTGCTCCGCTAGGATGGGAATATTGTTTAGTTGTCATGGATTGCATTCATCAGGGAAAGGGATGTCTGTTTTACACTGTAGCATAGGGCAGCCACATGGCAGTTTGATGTGGTTATGGCTTGCCATTAACAAGAAACCCTGGTTACCATACACTGAGGTGTTCAAATTGCCCAGATGGCAGACAACCTGATACAGCTTGAGCCTCGTCAGATTTAACCACAGAGTTGTTCTGTTGTCAAACACATGCTGAGAACAGTCATTTTGTTCAACTTAATAGCCATCTTGTCCAAATTGAACATATGGTGGGATGATGTCCACTAAGCACTTAAGGGTCATGTTGTCCCAACTTAAGCACAGAGCTGCCATCTTGTCTAACTTAAATGCAACTTGACCATGTTGTCCAACTTAAGCTCAGAGTTGCCATCTTGTCTAACTTAAGTGCAACTTGACCATGTTGTCCCAACTTAAGCACAGAGCTGCCATCTTGTCTAACTTAAGTGCAACTTGACCATGTTGTCCCAACTTTAGCACAGAGTTGCCATCTTGTCTAACTTAAGTGCAACTTGACCATGTTGTCCCAACTTGAGCACAGAATTGCCACCTTGTCTAACTTAGTGCAAGAGCAGCATGGCCATGTTGTCCAACTTAAGCAGCAGAGCTGCCATCTTGTCTAACTTATGGCAAATGCAACTTGACCATGTTGTCCAGCTTAAGCACAGAGTGGCCATCTCATCTAACTTAAGTGCAACTTGACCATGTTGTCCCAACTTAAGCACAGAGTTGCCATCTTGTCTGACTTAAGTGCAACTTGACCATGTTGTCCCAACTTTAGCACAGAGTTGCCATCTCATCTAACTTAAGTGCAACTTGACCATGTTGTCCCAACTTAAGCACAGAATTGCCATCTTGTCTAACTTAAGAGCAGCATGGCCATGTTATCCAACTTAAGCACGGAGCTGCCATCTTGTCTAACTTAAATGCAACTTGACCATGTTGTCCGGCTTAAGCACAGAGTGGCCATCTCATCTAACTTAAGTGCAACTTGACCATGTTGTCCCAACTTAAGCACAGAGCTGCCATCTTGTCTGACTTAAGTGCAACTTGACCATGTTGTCCCAACTTTAGCACAGAGTTGCCATCTTGTCTAACTTAAGTGCAACTTGACCATGTTGTCCAACTTAAGCACAGAGCTGCCATCTTGTCTAACTTAAGTGCAACTTGACCATGTTGTCCCAACTTTAGCACAGAGTTGCCATCTTGTCTAACTTAAGAGCAGCATGGCCATGTTATCCAACTTAAGCACAGAGCTGCCATCTTGTCTAACTTAAATGCAACTTGACCATGTTGTCCGACTTAAGCACAGAGTTGCCATCTTGTCTAACTTAAGTGCAACTTGACCATGTTGTCTCCACTAAAGCACAGAGCTGCCATGTCATCTAACTTAAGTGCAGTATGGCCATGTTGTCTAACTTAAGTACAAAGCAGTCATGATGTCCCGCAGTTCAGAAAATGAAGAAAGTCTGTGCGCTCCTTTTCACTATATTTTATGCTAATTATTTATGAACTGTTTTGCTTTCTGTAAAGTATTTTCACTTCAGAGACTAGATGTTAGTCTACCTCATTTCCTAGTTAGGTTATTGGAAATTGTCAGTTCTTTTGGCTTCTGGCCAGTGGTTCTTTAAATTCTAGTAAATTTCTGGCCAACTCCCTTCATTATTGTTAGGCTTCCAAATGGGTAACCGCAATATATAACCCATGCCCTCTCCCATCCTATAGAGAACAGATACATGCTCAGACACTCATGTTACTGTGATCAGACTGACAAGTTATTCACAAGATTCATTGCTTTCCCCATTTAATTTCTGATCGACTCCCTTCTTTGTTGTTAGGCTTCCAAGTGGGCAACCAGAATATAAAACTACTGCCCTCTCCCAACCTACAGAGAACAGATACATGCTCAGAAACTCATTTTGGGCTTCAAAGTGGGTAACAACAATATAAAACCACTGCCCTCTCCCAACCTACAGAGAACAGATACATGCTCAGAAACTCATGTTACTGAGTTCAGACTGACAAGTTATTCACAAGATGTTTGGGTATTGAATTGAGACCACCCAATATTGTGAACATTCAGTGTTGCTGAAGACAACACCAGCGCTGTCAACCACCGGACCACACTGCAGGTACACTTCCTCCAGCCTTGACACCACCATCCAAATAAATGGCACTATATTAAGAGCTGTGATGCGATTATTTTGTGCCCTCACTATCTGATAGCATAACATGATCTTTGCTTGTTGTAAGATTACGCCCACCGTTTTTGTTTTCCTAGTGGCAATGGTGAGAGAACGTGTCAAAACAAACGTAGAGATTGTCACCCAAGCTGCCCAACTTCTTAATCTGCATGGCGGACATGTTGGTTTTGTATCAACTGCTGCCTGTACCTAAAGCCAGTTATGTGGTTGCCGAAAGTGCCGTAATACCAAACCTTGAAATATATATTGGTTCAAAGAGTCTGCCGTTAGTTCATGTGATGCCACAAGCACAGAGCTGCCATCTCATTTAACTTAAGTGCAACTTGACCATGTAGTCCCAACTTAAGCACAGAGCTGCCATCTTGTCTGACTTAAGTGCAGCATGGCCATGTTATCCAACTTAAGCACAGAGCTGCCATTTTGTCTAACTTAAATGCAACTTGAC